TGTTGCTGTGGCGGTTTTCGGTTCAAACGACAGCCTCCAGGAATCCGCCACTAAAGACTTCACACGTCAAGCAGCCAATTCTAGAGCAGCCATGAGTGGCACGGAGGAAGGCATGGAAGCCCCTGTGAAGCAGACGGAGGATCTTGAGACGGAGGCATCCTTTCCCACAAGCACGGAGGAAAGCATGGAAATGAATGTGAAGATGATGGAGTCTCTCAAGATCTCAGAGACGGTGACGGAGGTAACCTTTTCCGCAATAGCCGGAGAACTATCAAAGTTCCTACCACAAGAAAAGAGAGAAATCATAGGCCAACTGGAGCTGGTGGTCATGGATTCCATGTGCGTCCATTGCAGTCGGTGTTATTTCCAGATGTACCTGACTCCGAAGGAACTGGTACCGTACGACGCATGCTTTCGCGAGGACCACTGGTGCGCCTGCGATGATCTCCCAGTCCCAGAATTTCGGCGACATAAATTAAATGCTGATGGAAATTCAAAGCACTGAAACCGCGGCTTGGCCCACGGTCTCGCAAGGAGCACAAACGGATTTCGCAAAAGGGTGCGAGCTTCTGATTTCTGTGCGTGGACTGCGTATTGTGCAATTTCTCAAAGCATCCGATGTCTTGCCTGCACAGGAAGCCAAACAAAGAAAGGCGCCGGGCCTGCCGCTCAGAAAGGTGCTGTTGGTCTTTAGGAGAGAGAGAGAGAGAGAGAGAGAGAGAGAGAGAGAGAGAGAGAGAGAGAGAGAGAGAGAGAGAGAGAGAGAGAGAGAGAGAGAGAGAGAGAGTGTGTGTGTGTGTGCAGTTTGGCCCCCAGGTAGGTGTCTGGCACATTCGGCCATGAGAATCTCTTGGCCGAATGTGCCAGACACCCACTCGTCCGAGCCATTTCGCAGACGTCCGTTGGAAGCCCAGGAACAGCCAGACTGAGGGAATGGAGTGTTGCCTTGCAGCTGCTAGAGTGAAGAGATAGAGGTATACTTGGCCCGTATAGTTAGCCACTGCTTCAAGACATGGGGCGCCTAATATTTAGGGTACCCTAAACGGGACCCCAATTTTGACAACCAGCCATACAGTTATACTCCTGCTATGGTTAGGTTTCACACACCACATAACTAGCTATTACTATTTTACTATTAAACTCAGAATCATCTTACTAAATCTTAGTACCTTTTCCCTTAGTTCTTTTTGCTTTGGATTCAACGCACGGAACGGAGGCCAAATTTCAGTGTAAAGAACGCAAGCAAAATACGAACGAATTAACCCACCATCTTCTGTTTCATTTTGTTTTTTGGTTAAACTACAAAGGAACAAAGAGTATGCGTGAATGTAATAGACGAAGCAAACGACACACCCAGACAAAAGACATGTAATGCCGTTCGTAATTCCTTGGAGTCATTTGCCTTCTGCCACCAACCAACAGTAAACTCTCCACCTATTATCCTCTGAGAAAGTAAGTGATGAAGTGAGTAAGTGGTTGATAACGGACAAAAACAGAATCTGAGCGAACGGAGAGAGAGCCGAAGCGAGGTTTTGGTTCTCTTGACTGAGACCACGTGTGAACGGTCAACCTTGGAAACCATTGCTGGTGTAGTTGGTGGGGTGTGTTTACTTTAATTCCCCCGAACCGTGATTTCATTACGTTCATATGTTCAAATGCTTCCATTCCATTCCATGTTGTTCTTGCTTTCTTGTGTCCTTTAATGCAGTAGCTTGTCAATGGATTATTGTATTGTGTAGTGTTTTCGGGTTCACTTATTTTCAATGCAATGAGAGCGAAAGAACGGAGCCGAATGAAGCGAGAAATAAGCGAAACAAAACCACACAACACATTCCACCCTCATTCCTCTTTTGTTTTCTTTTGTGGGCTTTGTTCACTCTTCTCTTCTCTTCGCTTCGTTCATGCTTGTAGGTCTCGAAGCACCACCCAGCATTTCTTAAATCCCCGCCTCCCTGTCGTCGTACCCACTGAGGTTAAGACGTGCCACTTCCCTGCCTCCAGTCAGCACGTTGTCGTGCTTGTCAGTAGTGTTTGATATGTCAGCCTTTCGTGTAAAAGACATCACCAGCGAGTCTAAGACGTTCCACTGCCCTGCCTCCAATCAGCATGTCGTCGTGCTTGTCGGTAGTGTTGGATACGTAGGCCTTTCGTGTCACAGACAGGACCAGCGAGTTTAGTTTAAGACGTGCCGCTTAATAATCCAAGCTGCGCCACTCTCCAAGGCATCCGCTGCAGTAGAAAGAACTCGCATGACCTGGGTCCGGGTGCAGGTTTACTGAGGTTTATAGTGGGGCGGTGGCACACTCCGAAAGCGGGCGACATTTTGCACGTCATTACGGAAAGTCAGATGTGAAACCTCTGTCCAGGGACACATGCGTGAATGAAATGTCAAAAACAATGTCCCTGAATTCATCGGACACATCCGTGACCGTGTCCGGCTATTATAATCTTTCACAGACCTGTACATTGACCTGACATTCCTTCGACCGCGGATTTTTCGCTGTACATATATTATATCCGTGGTCCATTCTTGTGGTGGCGGCAAGCTGATCACTTTCGTTCTTGATAAATGAAATCAACGTCCACCAGCCAACCTCAGGGCCCAGCCCTCGACTTCGGTTCGAAACTGGCTTAGTCTGTCTAACTGTGCCTGAGAAACACGTTGATCGATGTCGTTGTCTTGCTGATACTCGTCCAAAACCAAGTACGCTGCACCCAAGCCTGCCTCGTGGAGAGGTCCCCTTTGCTTGCGTCATTGAGGCCTTTTACGGACAGGTTTCCGTACATTTTGTCAAGTACCCTGGAATACCAGTAGTTGCCGACGTCTGCATAACGAGTTGCATCCGCACCGATGAATGCGTCTGATCCGTGGCTTATGTTGCAGAACTTCTTTCGGACTCCTCCCATGCTTGCCAGGGACTTCCTTTCCTTCTTGCCATACTTCTCCATCCACACATCTAGAAAGCTTGCGTCCCCTGCCACACCGATATTGCGTGCCCACCATTCGGCAGCCTCCAGCTGGGTCCTTCTCTCGTTGTCCCGCTTCAGTTCTACAGTGATCGGACGCTGCAGTGGTAGCAGTGGTGGGCCATGTCCATGACTTCCTGGTCCGTTTCTTGTGTGGGTGGTGTCCTCCGGCTGGTCGTCGTCCTCGAGCTGGTTCTGCTCGTGCACCGACAAGCGCTTCGCCAGCTCCACCTGGCTTTGCCCAAGACACTGAATGTCCTCCCAAATAATGAGTTTGTCGTAATGGAGCTCCTTCAAATCGATTTCATGGTTCTTCTTCGCGTTCTCTGTATCCAGCTGCAGCTTTCCAAGGACGTCCGTGATCTCCTTTAAGCGCTCATTTGTCTGCTGCATCCACTTCTCCATGCCCTGCAGTCGTTCTCTCACAGCTGCTGCTTCAATTCGTTGTTGCCTCCCTTGCCTCCGCCTCGGCCTTGGCCTTTCTCTTCCTTTGCTTTTTGGCGGCGATCTCGTCGAGGTCGTCCTGGTGCTTCCTGTACATGCTCATGCCCACGTACATCAGAACCACCAAAATTAGGGAGCTGTGTGGTCAAAGCTGCTACACTTGCTTGACTTGTCACAATCTTGCGTCACACAGACACAGGTTCAGATTCTGATCACGCAGACCACCACAATCTCTGATTATGCTCCGAGGCCATGACCTTCCTCTTTGAGGATCATCTTCGACTAAATGTCCTGCCAGACATGCTTGACACGTTTGCCCACCTGCCTAACTACAGCAGGCTGAGTTCCCGACACCCCTGTTCGGCGTCCAAGCTCCCCCCTGTTCGAGGTTCGGATCCCTGTGCGGGGGTAGCAGGACTGCCTGAATCTTTGCCTCCTGACTTCCTAGTTGCCTTGCTGTCAACGAGTCTTAGGAAGTGCCACTTCCTGGCCTGCGGTCAGCATGTCGTGCTGGAGCTTGTGTTTGCTGGGAATATACGTAGGTGCCACCTCATTGATCGTGTTTGAGACATGAAGAGTTTGCGCGAAGTTCGCTGTTTCAGAAGTTGCTCTAACCAGCACTCTTTTTGACCTTGCCATTCTGTTTGCTAGCTGCTTTGTTGTGCAAGACTCGGGTCCCGAGGCCTGCCCCCTCTGTTTCCTGGCTCAGTTCTTGTGTCGCGCATTTTCCTTTGTTTGGAATGATGTTTTTAAGAAGCACGAAGTTTACGAAGTGCCACTTCCCATCCTCCAGTCAGCATGTTGTCGTGCTCGTCGGTCGTGCTGGCCGGTCGCTAGGAATACGTAGGCATTTCGTGTCAGAAACATCACCACCGAGTTTAAAGCGTTCCACTGCCCTGCCTCCAGTCAGCATGTTGTCGTGCTTGTCCGTCGCGAGGAATACGTAGGCCTTTCGTGTCAGAGACATGTGACCGGCGAGTTTAGTTTAAGAAGTGCAGCTACCCAGAGCATGTCAAACTTCACATGACCGACATTTTGCACGAAACGGACAGACAGTCTGATCTTGAAGCTGACGTGCAGTCAGTACATAACAAGTGAAACCTCTGTCCAGGGACACATCCGTGGAAATAATCTGTGCCTTCAGAGCTGGTGTCTGTGTGAAAGCACTCTGAAACCGGACAAGTGGAACCTCTGTCCAGGGACACATCTGTGACATTGTCCATCCCACGCGTACTAAAGTATAGATTTATTATTATGACACTCCATGTCCTTATAAAGACTGTCCCTGAATCCGTTGTCGCTCATCCGTGACAGTTTCCTCTACTTCTTTAGGTGAACTTCTCAGATCTATGTAACGGCAGTACTACATACCAGTCACTGCGGCAACACCACTCACCGGAGGCCTGTTACGGCCGGTCTGTAGATCAGGCAGCCGCCCAGGTCTAATGCTTCGTTGCTTCCTAAATCCATCACCGCACGACCTCGAATCAGACCGTTGGTCCGCAGCAGCGATAATTTCTAAGAAAACGGCCCACGAGCAGAATAAAGTCTTCCCAATGATAGCCCGGGTACGGCTGCTGGGCCAGGAATCATATCCTTCCAGTCGCAGGTCCTGTCGTGATCACAATAACCATACTGACCAGCATGCCTATGTCGACACGAAAGTATTTGCATGCCGACACAAAGCAATTCAAGCGATCCTCAATGTCACGTGCTCTTCGCAAACGTCTGATAATCGGAGGTGTTTGCGTGGCTTTCTCGTTGCCGGGCAGCTCCTGCTCGCTGTCCGTGTTGTCCGTGTTGTCCTCTTCGCCTTCAGGTGCCTGCGCATGTAGTACGGCTTGCTTCTCAGCAGAACCTTGCTTTTTTCGCCATGCTTGCCAGCCACTTTGACCCGATCGCTGCTGACCCTTCTTTGCTTTCATCGCTTTCATTGCCCTCACATTGCCGTCGTTGTGTTGGACCTTGGCCGCCTTCATTGCTTTCATGGCTTTCATTGCCCTCGTGTTGCCATCCTGCTTGGCGGCCTTCTTGGCCTTCATGGCCTTCATGGCTTTCATGGCTTTCATCTTTCATCTACTATGTAGGTAAGCTCTGCAGTTGATGCCTTGAACCTGTGTCTGCGCCACAGGGTGTAGGTGCACTCGCCGGGCGCACATGTCAAACAGGCACTTTGGTCTCACTGAATTTCGTTAATAATCCTAGTAAGTAATACTACACTGTTGGATATTATTCTGCTTGCGTTACGCATGCGCGCGCCGGGCGTGCAGGCGTACGTGCGCCGGGCGCGCAGGCGTACGTGCGAAGCGTACGCGTGCGTGTACGCATGTAGTATATTTACAAATTCGACAACATTATTCTGCTTGCGACATGAATTTACGGATGTGTGCGCAGCGGGTCGTGCAGGCGTACGTGCGACGGGCGCGCAGGAGTACGCGTGGCGGGCGGTATAAACTGACGCAAAACCATAAATACCCAGGAGTACGCGCGCCGGGCGCGCAGCTGTACATGTGAGTTGAATGCTTCATTGAAATAAACATTCAGTTCATCCGTTAGCATAATAATCATAATAATACAATTTTCTAGTCTGCTTTGCCTACAGGTCGTGTTTATTGCAATGAAGCATTGAATTCACATGTAGAGCTGCGCGCGCTTGGCGCGCGCCTGGCGCGCAGGCGTACACGTGCCGGGCGCACAGGTGTATACGCGCGAAGCATACGCGTGTAGTATATTTACCGGGCGCGCGCCAGGCGCACAGGTGTATACGTGCCAAGTGTACGCGTAGTATATTTACACTATTCCATAATATTCTGCTTGAAACGGTGCGCGCCAGGCGCGCGCCGGGTGCGCGCCGGGCGCGCGGGCGGGCGCGTGCCGGACGTACAGGCGTACGCGCGAAGCGTACGCGTGTACTATATTTACACTATTCCATAATATTACTGGGAAGAACCGGTGGCTTGTAAATGGTTAACATACTTTACGAGGTTAGCTATCTGTTTACAAACAAATGTAAAGGGTTAAGTTGGTTTAGCTATAGGGGTTAGCATAGCTTAGAAAAGGGGGTTAGTCTAAGTAACATAAGGGGTCCCTTATACGTCTAAAACCTTCCAAACCCTGAACATAAAAGCCTCAAGCCCTAAACCCAAACCCTGCAAAACACAAGTCTTTTTTTGCATGCCGGTCGTTCACGGTCTTCCGGCTAGAGAACCTCACCCCTCGTTTAAGGCCGTATAGCCTGAGAACTTCTGCATTTCAGCAGATATATAATATACTGGGAGGCCGTAGCCTTCTGCATCCCATTCTGCATTTCTGCAGCAAAAGAGGCCGTAGCCTGGAAGAAAGCTTGCTTTCAGGCTGAGTTTTCAGACTCCTCTTCCTCATGCTCCTCTTCTTCAGTTCCTGCTGGGAATTCCCATGGTCTTCATACTCTGCAGAGGACTGCTCGGGCACGGTAGGGAGAGCATGCTCGTCCCCGGACTCCACGATATTCATATATTCGTACTCCCTCCATGCCCTTCTGTAGTTGCTGCGACGGACATCCCTCTCATTGTACCACTTGATTGTGCATTTTGCACACCAGTGGTTCTGGTGTGCATCTTTCACTCTGCAGCAACTGGGGTCACCGCATTCCGTGCAGGGTCCTGCACACGGGTCCATCCTCAAACGGCGGCTGCAGGCTCCTCCCATTTCACAGGCCTTGGCCCACAGAAACTGCACGTGTGCAGGAGCTTATAAGGATGGCCTTGGCCGCGATGCACTCGCAGTCTGTTTTTAGAGTTCGCAGCACCTTTGGCCTTGGCCGGATATCACAGCAATCGCCCGAAGACAGGCGAACGGAAAGCTCTATAAATAATATTATAGCATTTGAGCCACATGGCGGCAGCAGATTTCACACATGATATAAGGCACATGAGACAGCATGCTTGACGACCCCCATACATGCCCGATGACCCAGTGAAAACCCTTCGCATGCATCTGTTTCCTTGCGATGCACTCGTGTGTCAGCAGCTACTTTGCTGCATGGTATATAATGATCTATCTGTGCAGCATGCTAACCGATTTTCGGCGCAGTGCTCATGTGTGCATACACACATAGAAGCAAAAAGTTGGTTGGCATCGCTTTCGAGCCCTGCACAGCTGGCTTAGCAGCCGTTCTTCTTCTTCCACAGCAGAATGGCCTCTCTGTGGGCCTCTCGCTGGCACTCTACCACTTGCTGCTCCGAGAAGCCTTGCTGCTTTGCCCACGTTCCGGCTCGCTTGTACATGCGAGAAGCATAGTTCTTCTGGATGCAGCCGTCCTCCCAGACAATTTGGAACTTTCGCTTTCCATGCGAGCCTTGGGCTTGCTGCTCCTTTGCTTTGCCTTGGCCTTTCTTCGAAGCACTCTTGTCCTTGGACTTTCCTTTGCCTTTGCCCTTGCCCTTCTTCTTTGGATCTTGGCCTTGGCCATTCGTTTTTGTCTTGTTCTTGGCCAAGTTTCCTTGGCCACTCGCTGCAGCTGCAGCAGCCGGCTTCTTCAGAATCCCAGCTTTGCGATCTTTGAGCTTTCGGAACAAATCTTCGTCCTCGAGATCGTTCTCGGCAGGGAGCGACTCCGTTGCTTCGGGTTCTTCGGCTGGAGGCAGGGCTAGCTGCAAGGCCGACTGTCGCCCTGGCGAGGTCTGCTGTGTCGCAGCCGAAACCGCCTGGGCTGGGTTGCCCAGAGCAAAGCCGACCCCGGCACTGCTGCTGCTCAGCTCGCCTCCTGTGATGGAGTTCCGTCCAGGGGTCCTGCAGCAGGTATACAAATGGAAAAGCATGCATGGGCTGTGTATACAGATGCAAAACAAAGGAAAAGATAAAAGAAGCATGCAGTCCTCCTTTGCAAGATATTGGCGCCTGCAGCAAGCTGCAGCTCCCTTCGCCCACCATCCTGGATGGCATTCTGACCGCAGCCCTGGTCCAGCAGTCTTTCCAGTCGCCCGAAGCACTGCTCCATGCGGCTCTGGAACTCGTTCGCATGCTGCTCAGACACGGCGGCCTGGCCATCTGGCCTCGGCAGCCTCTGCTTCTTGTTCTTCTGCAAGAGCTTGGAAGTAGATCGCATCGGAATGTGAGCTAGCCAGATCCCAGCCCTCACGTCTTTGCCCATGGGCGGGTCCTCAGCCTTGTAGGCTCGGTCGAACAGAGCCTTCGGCAAGCTGCTGGGGTCATCGGGATACGTGAGCAGGTCGACCTCAGTCGGCTCTGCATCCGTTTTCACGGATTCCCAAAATCTCTTGAAGACTTGGACCTCTTCGTAGATCTCTTCATATGTCGGCATCTGACTGAGCTCGCCGGCTGCCAGTGCCAAGAGGAAGGCCAGGCCTTTCTTGACCGTCTGTTCTGTGAGGTTCCTCAGGCCCAGCTGCAGATACCTCTTCAGAAGGATTTCCAGCCTTGCCGGCGCTGGCGACTTTTCCAGCATAGACCACTCAGTGACCGTGATGAAGTTCTCCGGCTTCAGCAAGGTCTGCGGCTTGCTTTCCTCCTTTCGCTTGTTCGGCGTATATGTAGTATCTGGCGGCGGTGTTGCAGCCGTGGCCGTTGCCAGAACTTTGGCTTCAACTTTTTCAAGCAACCGTTCTGACAGGGTGCTCTCGAAGCTCAGACCCTGGATCGTCTGCTTCATATGCATGGCTTGCCCTAACGACAAAGAGCCAAGGCTCTCCAGCCGGGTGCACCAGCTGTTCATCAAAGCATCGACCGAAGCCTTGCTCCCACTTTGTGCCCACTCGGCCATAGGGCCTAACTCGGCCTGCAACTCTCGGGCCATCTCGCCGTGGCGAGATATATATATATATATATATAGCCGTGGCCAGAAAAGGAGAATCCAGAAGCCCCCTCTATAGGAGCCAAGATGCTACAACCCCACTACAGGAGCCTAAATGGCAGCTGCATGCACATCCATGGAAAAAGAGCATGGTACATGTCGCCTGCATGTGTGTGTACGTGCAGATTCCCAAAACCCAGGATGCATGCAGGATCAATCTTTTTCATCGGAGGGAAGCAGGCAGGATGATTTGTCGTCGGCCTCCGGCCATGTCTCTCCATGTGCATGCACACAGAAAGTCTCTGCATGGCAGCAGATGCAGGCTGTCTATGCAGGAGCACTCCCCCACGAGGTCATCGCAAAGCAGAGAAGAAATGGAATGCACAACACTGTAGGCTTGCCCTGCCAGTTCCACGAATGCCCAGACAAGGGCACACTCCAAGCAACCGTTCCCTTCAAGCAGCACCGCATCGCCACGACATATCCGTTCCCCGGAGGGCAGCCTGACTTTTTCTGCCACATTAAGCACTTGTGCCGAGGTCAGCTCCGGAATGATTGTGCGAAGTGCTGCCGCCTTCCTCCGAGAAGCTGGCTTCGGGTCCTGCAACTGCAGCATCGCTGCGAAACAATCAGCTCTTGCCAAGCAATATAGTTCTTGTCCAAGAATTTCTCGGAGAAGACCCTGCTCGTAAGCAGAAGTCTTCTTGATGTCCTCGGCGAATCTCTTGATAGTGCGATGCTTTCTTTCGTGAGTGTAGCACTGAACCATGAAACCCCACTTTTCCAGGTGCGAACCGAAGTGGAGAAGCCAATGGAACTTGGAATGCATGCGGTCCTGCCACTCAGCAGCATGCACGGCTTGCAAGAAATCGGAAACGTGCTTTCTCATCTGGCCGGGCGAAACCGCTCCCTCAGTGCGAGCTCTCTGGCAGCATGCCACGAGTTTGTCCAGCTGCAAGAAACATTGGATCGCTTGCACTGCCTCAACATTTGCATTTGCCCTGGCGAGCTGCCTGAAGAAACAAGCCAATATTGGAGACAGTGTCAAGCCTTCGGAGGCCGTGCATTTGAAGGTCTCGGCTTCCATGCATGCTTTTGCTCGGGAGTGACCCAGCATCCCTTCGGCCTTGGCGGAGATGTTCCGGGGCAGGGTCCACTTGGCCACGTACTCGTCGGCGATTTCCCAGACATTGGGAAACTGCTTCTGCAAAGCTTCCAACAGAAGCCAGGTCACTGTCTGGAAGACACCGGAGACCAGCAGGGTGTGCATGCTGTCGT